AGAATTATAGAATTACTTCAAAACAAGTGAAATAATTGAAGTTTGGGGGAAAAAACCTTCCTAATACAAAATTATGGGACACTTTAGTTTTAATACAATGTTGCATAAATAAAGTAAGAGCACTACTTCAGATTTAAAGGACATAGCAGTACTTAGTCCTGGTAGGTGATATTCAAATAATATTTATTTCCTCTGGCTTTCATCCACTAATTGTCATTTATGCTTTCACTATACTTGATATAGTGCTTATATTTTTAAATATATATCAAAGGACTCTAACCAAAGATACTTAAAATTAATTTGTTTAAATTATACCATAAATGGAGATTATCAAGTTCAGTTCCCTAAATAAGTAAACTGACAACTGAGCTTATGCTAATGGTCAAAAGTTTACGTGCTTATTTGGAATGTATGGGAGAATTGGAAAAATCTGAAAGTTTAGGCATAAGTGGGGAACTGCTAAGAGAAAAAAAATTAATAACAGAATGAGACAATATAATCACGCCTGCAGACATTTCACAAGTCTGTGGAGGGCTCCACAGCATGGGGCAGTAAGTCAGTTTATTTAGGGGCAGAACTGATATGCTCAGTCCTCTGAGTACAGATGGGTCTGGAAAGGCAGGAAGCAAAATACCATATGAAAACATGCTGAGAAAACAGAGAAGTGTGTCCAACCTTCCTTGACCAAAATGGAACTTTTCCAGAACATTCCATTAAAGCTTCAACTCATGTTACTTCCCATTCAGCTATGACATTTCTCAACCTGGCCCTTCTAAATAATACGATAACTATGAAATCACGGCATTTATTTGTATATATGTGAATGGGTGCACAACTGTGAAGTTTTGCAATTAAAAAACTCTACTGAGGGCCGGCCCCATGGCTTAGTGGTTAAGTGCACGCGCTCCGCTGCTGGCGGCCCGGGTTCGGATCCCGGGCGCGCACCGGCGCACCGCTTCTCCGGCCATGCTGAGGCCGCGTCCCACATACAGCAACTAGAAGGCTGTGCAACTATGACATACAACTATCTACTGGTGCTTTGGGGGAAAATAAATAAAAATTAAAAAAAAAAAAAAAAAAAACTCTACTGAAAATCTGAGTTCCCTATACCTTGGTCCCAAGTCCTCCTTCCTGACATCTAGGGTGTCTAAAAGCAATATTTGCTTTCTATTTGACCTATAAAAAGGGGCTCCAAGGCTCTAAAGAAAGTATTTTTAAAAGAAATCCTTCATGCCGTCTGATGTTACAAAATAAAAAAGAAGCGTTCCAGAAGTACTGAAACAAAAATCTGGAAACCAGGTTTCTGGAGCCTGATGTGACACTAGGGTGACCAACTGTCCCAGTTTGCCCAAGACTAAGGGATTTTCCAGGATGGGGGACTTTCAGGACTAAAACCAAGAAAGATTCAGGCAAATCAGGACAAGTTGGTCTCCCTATGGGTTACAATGGCTAAATCACAACCCACTGGGAGTGCAGTTCCCTGGCTGCTAACATCTGGATGGGATAAAAGACATAGGAAGGGGGGAAAGGAGACCAGAAGATCTCCAGGGCCCTTCTGTTCTAATCTCCTATGACCCTATGAAATATTCAAGCCACACTTGATTGGACTGTATAGCATACCACAAGTGAATGTACATTTATGTAGAGTCAGAGGACTCTGGAAATATTTTGTGAAGCTACGCATTAAGTTTGGGGTTATATAAGCTTAATAGTAAAACAGCTAGGAGTTTTCAGTTTTTTATTTTTCATTTCATTTCATTTCTAAAAGAGGAAAAATAAGCTGCTTCTAGAAAATATCGAGCCAGCAAAGAAAATCCTTACAACACCAACATCCAAATTAACACGATCTGCCTCCATCCCAGATCATAAGAGACCTAGGCAAGACATCTGGACAAAAGTTTAAAAACAGAAATATTACTTTGATTTACTGTGAAAGAATATATTTCTACATTTTTAGGAAAGTAACAACTTAGAAATGTGTGGTTACAAGTAGCTGCAAAACACAAGAGCAAGGCAAATGTAATTGTTTCAACTAGCAGCCCACAATAACATTAGAGTCATAAAAGAAAAATAAATAAGCCCTTGAATTGTTAAGAGTATATTCACTGTCAAATATAGTCCCTAATGTTGTATCTTTAAGGCTGAAAAATCCTATTTTAGAGGGTACAAAACAAGTTATATAGAAGATCTAGTCACATAAGCTCAGATGTGGTAAAAGCAGAAGAAATATTTGGGCTTCCTCTTTTCTGGCTGGGCATTCTAATTTAGGATAATATCTGCCTTACTGGTACTAATAAAGATCCTAATGAAAGCATTTCTTCCATGAAGACTGAGTTATGAGAAATGTCGAAAAGCACAACTAAGAAAGAAGCCCTACTAAACAAAATCTTTTAAGGCAGTAACATTCAGGGAATGATATATTTTTTTCACTCACTCATGAACTACTCTATCATATCCCGTCATCATTCTTAGTAAATGGGTAGCTGCACTGTCATCAGAATTTATCCAAAATGCTTTTTTTTTTTTTTTTGGTGAGGAAGAGCTAACATCCGATGCCAATCCTCCTCTTTTTGCTGAGGAAGATTGGCCCTGGGCTAACATCTGTGCCCATCTTCCTCTATTTTATATGGGACGCCGCCACAGCATGGCCTGACAAGCGGTGCGTCGGTGCGTGCCCAGGATCCAAACCTGCGAACCTCGGAACCTCGGGCCGCAGAAGTGGAGAGCGTGCACTTGACCACTACGCCACTGGGCTGGCCCCTCCAATATGCTTCTTTATGACTTGCTCCTATGAAAAGTCTTGCACCCATCAATAAGAGATTTCTCACATGTTACTTAAGGGCGGCCTCCAAGTCTGTGTGTGTATTCATGAGTCTACATACGTACACATATGGGAGTATGCTTCTCCTTGCCCCCTCACACAGAAGTTTCTCCCCCCAAATCAGTTAACAGTTTGTGCCCAAATCTGTCACAGAAGCTATGGGGATATGAAAGTGTGTGTAAGAAAGAGGGTCCCAGCCTCCAAGATAGTCATAAGTGGGGAGATAAGACATATTCCCATGATGAGCTCTCAGTGCCAGCAAAATGGATGGCTATCCTATTTTTATTAGTAATATTGGGATGCTATCATCTGCATATGATTTTCATGAATCACAAAGCCTTAATCCAAACAGGTAAGGAAAAAAAAATAAATCCATGCGATTTATCTCAAACATATTAAAATACAATAAATATACAATAAATAATAATTTATTCTGAGTATGTAATAAGTAGCAGACCAGTGTGCAGTAGTAGGGAAGATGGAGTGAGATTCTTAATGGCCAAAATATCACATAAACTCAGGAGAGGAAATTAGGGAACGGGAACCATTTGGCTATTATTATCTCAACAATGGCAATGGCATAGAAGTGTGGCTTCTCAAGGCTTTTCTCAAAACCCAGAGGTATGTTAGGAACAAGCTGCTGGGCTAGTTTCTAGAAACCCCAGTTTCAGCCCCAACTCCTTCACAATCGTATCCTCTCTCACCCTGGTTTTCTACCTGTACTAGTTGAGGTTTGAACAAGATGATGGCTAATATTCCTTTAGAGAACACTTCTGGTAACCCTTTCTTTGATAAATATATCCCAGTCCCATCCCCTCTCCACCCCCACTAAATTACAGTGTACAACATGAAATTATTCATGAATCTGTGACTTTAATTTTTTGTTTATACACTGACTTCTTTATGGCAACTGGTTAACAAAGCAAAATCCTAATTCACATTGCTAAAATTTAGCACTCAACAGTCATCAGTTTTACATTATCTAACAATCTACCAGATTAATGTGGCATATTACTCAATATTGTTACAAGAAGTTTTGGTGTAGCTGTAATTCACAATGCTGAAGATCAGATCAAATAATTACGTATTCATTGCTTTAAGCTGGCTTAAAATTGGCTTAGCTACACAGCAACCAAGAGTAAGGAAATATTTAATTTCTTTGTTTATGATAATCCAGTGACAACATCTAAGTATGACCTTGGTATAAAAAGGCTACATAAATATTCTTTCATCTGGTAAGGCTTATTAAACCCACGGTGTTTGGGGAAAAAAATTAAGAGCAGAAGAAGATAAATATGGGTTGTAATATCAAACTATTTCTCTTATCATTTTTATGTTGGAAATACTCTTGTTTGGACATCTGAATGTGAGGACAATTATCACCTAGTAACCGCAATGAATTAAAAAAATGAACTCCAATAAAATGTTAAACCATATAAGCTCTCCTCATTCTGAAACACTCTTTTGAGTCATTTCAGTGAAGAGAGAAAAGAAATCCAAAAATAAAAGAGAGGGCCGGCCCCGTGGCTTGGTGGTTAAGTGAGCGCGCTCCACTGCTGGCGACCCGGGTTCGGATCCCGGGC